ATATATATATATATATGCTACCCCTCAGGGTCTGCAATTTTCCCTCCCAGCTACTAAAATCTAATGCAGATTTTGACGTATCATACCACACGAGAAAAGATGATGACACATGATATAGTACACGTGAAGACAAGAAGCCACGACCAAGAGAAGCCAGCAAGCCAAAACCCCGGAGAAAAGCTTCTCTGTCTCGGGAAGTTTATGGTACACAGCCGTCATAATTGTGAAGCCGAGCATCATGGAATTGAGAGGTTCGGCCTCTGTCGTGGGCCTGCAGCCAGCGTTGAGGCAGAAGTTGTTAAACATCGGCTTGGCTTGCTCGGGCCTTCGTGGAACTACGTAACATCCAACGAAGCGCTTTTCGCGGCGTACGTCTAGTAGGTCTCGCGATCTCTCGTGATCTCGGGACACTCTGTCGGTGTGAGCCCAGCACCGTATGTGTGTGCGTGCTCATAGGCTTTCGAGGATTCAATCTGGGCGGCAAGCCAAGCGAGAGTTCATGACAGCATCTTGGGTCGGCATGAAGCATCCAGATTAGCAAAGTTAATCTTCAATGCTGAACAGTTCGGAAAACATCCTGGACCCCTCTGCTGCCTGGAGTGGAGCAGGCCATGGAGGCTGCAAATCGCCTTCCATCGGAGACTGCTTCAACTGAGCCAATGCATGGAACCTTTTTGGCGGAGCGGGAGAGCAGGCCTGGACCTGATGCCCCGCACGGACCTGCCGGAAATGCAACAAAAACATGGGCTGGGGCAGAGGAATCATAGAGAGAGAGAGAGAGATATATATATATATAGGCTTGCACATTTTTGTAGGGTAGGCAGCGCCACCGGATCCAGCAGGCACGACATGGAAATCTGTGCATGGATGACTCCCGAGCCTGCTCCAAGCAGCTCTGGCCACCCAGGCAATAGCCGATAGCCCCTGCATAGCCACTTTTCACCTCCGGCTTGATTTTACATGTACATGAGGTCATAAGACGATCATGGAGCACATTGATTGTCACCTCTTGTCCCTCTTTTCTGAGGAAAACCGTGACATAATACGTCTCCTATCGGCCCAGGCACAGCCGGATGAGCGAAAGCCTTCTGCAGAAATGCATCCATAAGCCCTCGCCACTTGCCTTCACCGGGAAGGCTGTTCGCTGAATAGAGCAGGTTCGGACAGCCCGGAATAGTGACCCCCGAAGTCATCACCCAGTCGCGAGGGGCACAAGGGGAGGGTATACCAAAGCCCCTACAAGTATAAGAGGCCGTGCTGGAAGCCCACGTCATGGACAAAACATCGGTAGCTGCCTAAAAGCATTCCGATCCAACCGACTGCAGGCTCCCAATTACTAGCACCGCTAGTATCGATAGGCCCACATCCACACAAGCCGGCCATACACCGAAAAGAAACATGCATTCAGCCTCTCACAGCTTCCACTACTTGACCATAGTATGCCTCCCTGAAATCCCCTGCAGCGACGAGGAGTCCCAAAATGGCTTAAAAGGCTTCATCGGCAGGAAGACCCACGCTCCGGTGACACCTGGCGCCCGCAGCAATGCATTCATTTGGCGGAAAGCTCCGATGAAGTGCTTGATGCCCTGGCGCCGGCGTGTGAAGCTCTCTGTCTCCCGTCTCTCCCTTGCATGTGGCACTTTAGATCTATCGCTGGCTCGGCTGGCTCCCGGGCGACAGCTTAATCTAGCGTACGATTCGAACGACAGAGCACCAGAGATTCTTAGGATACGGGATGGCGTGTGCAGAATTCTGTGCTGGGTGTTGTTGACGTTTGTCGCACGAGCCAGGGAGGCCGGGCCAACGAGGACTTCAGGACTGCGGTTTGCTTGACATGGCCCCCAAACCCCAATGCAGACCGACCCAGTAAGTCACAATGCTGCTTGGGCATTCACGTTTCGTGCCAAGGCACTTGCCAGTGCACCTTGCCATCTGCTTTCGGGACCGCATCGAAGAACGCGCGTAGCTCCTGCGAGCCGAGAACAAATGAGGAGTATCCTTTACGCAACGGCCACTTCCCTCGCTAAGGGATCGGGTGTGAGCACATCCGACTGAGACTTTGACTTGGGTTCAGCTTCGGTACACACTTCAGAGTTTTCTTCCACCCCGCATGCAACATATCCGCCGACCCCGCTGTTGGGTCGAGCGCCGGGGAAGCCCTTTCATGGCAAGTAGCCCCGGAACCCTCTTAAGCTCTGCACCTCAAAACCCTGTCCATCTTAGGCAGGGGAACACTGTATCACAGGCCCCAAAAACCTCAGTTTTTCTGTTTTCTGCGGTCGCGCATGCCACGTCGGCGTGATTCCATCGAAAGCTCCGCGCT